CGAAAGTATTCTCTATTAATAAGCCCGCAAAGGCTTTGAAGACTTCAACTAAAAAAGGCACAACACCATTTGGGAAGAGGCTTCAATTCATGGAAAGCGTAGCGTCGCGTGAGTCGCATGCCGTGTAGCGGCGCGGCAAAACCGTCGCGTACGCGGCATACGCGCTGGGCTGGCCTACGCGTCACACGACGGACTTTAATGTTCTTAAACAACTTGACTACCTCGAGAAATTCCCTAGATGTTCTTACTCAGCTTCTACTTCTTTGTTGCAGCTTATTCCTTTTTATTCTAGAAATCGATCCGAGAGATCGCTAAGGTGCCACAGGTCTTCCTTGAAATCTCTATCCATGGTGTACGGATACTTGACGGCAAGAACGGGGTAATTTTACAAATCGATTTTTTTTTGAAATATGATTCTACTGATGTTGTAAACCTTCCAAAATTTAAAGCGGATGAAAACTGCTTGACATCGGCAAGTGGTTTCGTGTTTCATGTTTATACTGAATTCAATACGCGCTGACCGGCCGGCTTCTTTTGCAAGCAGCATTTCATCAATCGATACCGATATCAAGCATCTACCATGCCTTTGCGGCCGGGGTTGTTGCCAATATTGTAATCGGTGCTGTTTTCAGCAACTGGCTGTTGAACATGAGATTTCTCACATTCAAATTGTCTGCCAAGATGAGAGGGATTTGAACTGCTTTACGTACATATCTCAGGATGCCGAAAAGAACTTATGTCACGTGTTCTGTGTACTTACAGCTGTGAGTGATTCTTTTATACTTCTATTCGCTACTATTGGGTGAAAAATCGTAGTGACGATTATACCTGTTGAGTAGATTACTGTCTACCTGCAGTTCCCTCTCAAAGGGCTTTCGATTACTCTCTCGTTGGTGAAAGTTAATAAGGCTACCCGTCCGAGCTATGCTTCGCACCTTGTTTGCCGCTTAGCTAGTTGTCCCGTCACTCAGACATATTGCTCCAGTCTAATGCCCGTCACATGTCTAAGTAGTTACCAATAGGTAAACGTGTAAAGTTCTAGGTTCAAGGTAATCCGAAGCATTCGTTCCTGGTCTAGAAAAATTCTATTTCTAGGATGTCGCCACAGAGATCATCGTGACATTAGGACAAGCGTTCGAACTCGCTTACAAGCTGCAGAACGGTGCTGCTCTTGAAGAAATTGCCGACGTTTAGTTGAGTTGTAGCCTTCAAGGCTTCTGAAAAGAGCAGTTATTTGTGAGATCTGATCCTGGTGCTTTCACGGTGCATCTTGTAGACTGATTCTAATGAAATTACATTATTACTATTTGTTCTGAATAAGGTGGTGTATGGGAGTATTCGGAAGGATTCTCATCTTGCTCG